TATTTTCTGAAAATTAGCATATAACTAACTAATAAAATAACATGAAATATCTGTGGTGTTCCTGACAGAGATGTTAACAACTGCAACGTCACAGGAGTGACATGTGGGGAATCAGCTCCCAGGATACAATTGTCACCTCTATTTTATGACAGAACTTAGTTTGTTAGAGACTGCATTACAAGGGAACTGAGTTGCTTTTCTGTGGACTACTCTCTTTTTCTAAAGTAAAGAGAACATAAAGGCAAATTACTTCAGAAGATGGTTGAGTATCTAGAATGAATGAGATTTCTGCTCCTGAGGCAAGGAGTACTTCAGCCCATCCTCTCTATCCTGAACACCAAATTCAGAGTCATTACTGTTTCAAGAACTGGAGCAGTCAGCTTTTCAGGAGATCCACCTCACTGTCTGCAGAGGGCACTTGTTTCTTTGATACAGTCTTTTTTCTATGTCATCTTAAGATTTTTAAAATGTTCTTAATTAACTGCATCACCTGTCCTTTACACTGTCAAAATTCTGCAAGGGATTTCTTCTTTTTGGTAAAACTCTTTGGTTTGTTTTTATATGCAAGCAAAGGCTCAGTTAACCAGTAACCAAAGAGAGCACTTATTTGTTTATAGACAGATAAATAGCAGGTTTTGTTAGAGTGTTGCTTCTTTTGATCTGCAAATTTTTTATGCCATTACTCCTTGATTCCACCTGCATCATTATCTTGTATTTGGAGGTATTCTGGAACATCATACTGATGAAGTTCTACTTCCCTTTAGGTTTAATGATTGCTTATAAGTTACTAAAAGTAGTTTTCCAAACTTTTGTGACACTGAGAATGTAAGTAGTAGTAGTTATATCCTTCTGTATACATTGCTTTTTTTCTGCTCTAAATGGCATTTCCTGTGGTTCTCAAAGTCTTTAAGGGGGAAAAAAAGATGCATCAGTACTAGCAGTATTAATTTGTTTTGAAAAGGAAGAAGAGTTGATGCCAGTAAAACTGTTCGCAAACTTGTGGTTTTAATTTTTACATGCTGTTATGTACACTGTATGTTGTCTACAAAATACAGGATTTTAGGGATTGCAGTGATTGCTGTGTAACAGTACTTAAGGAATTAGTAGCAAGATTTGTTTGTGAAACTGAGCTGTCAGTCACTTGCAAATCTAAGTTGACAAAATTATTTCTGCTTGTATTTAACAAACAAAAACCTCCCACATACTATGAGCCTTTGAAAATGCAGATGAATATGAGTAAAATGTTTGCATGTGAGGCAAATGAGAAAATAGAATGCACTTGGACAGAGACATTGAAAATATCCTCTTAAAAGTATTGTTGTCTGTATAATGAGCAGTTATACTCATGATAGTTTTTATAAGTTGACTTTGCTTTGAACAGTGGTGCTTGTGTTACTATTCTTTCACTTACATTTATGTTTTCTTGCCAGTCAGTTTGTGCTGTACAGAAAGATGAACCTTGTAGTTTCTGTTTAGAGCCAGGTTGGCTCAGTTGCACAAATAACTCTGGCACAGCCCTGCAGGAAATGTTAGCGTAATTAAAAAAATTAAAGAAACATAGCGTGTGCGCTTTCCTTCCCATGGATGTTTTAGTTGCAAGGTAGCTATTTATTTTCAGAAAATAAAATTATTAATAACAGGAGGCTGGAAGCCGTCTAATAAACCTTACTTTCAAAGCAGGATCAGCTTTGATGCACAGAGCCTTCAGTTCTTGAATTTTGCTGTGTATTACCAAGGAATCTCCTATGCACCCTGTTGCTGTGCACTGCCTTTGGCAATTTCCCTGGCTGGAATTTGCCATGTAACAACTTGTGACTGTTCCCTCTTTTCCTTTTGTTCTCTCCTCTGTCATCTCTATACTTCCCTTTAATAGTTGAAGGCAGTGATTTCTGCATACAACACCCCTTGCTCCACTTTAACCTCTTCCAGAGGCTGAGTGCACCAAGCTCCCTGAGCTTCTCCTTGTGCAGGATATATTCCAGTACCCGAGGCACACTGTGTCTTCCTGCTGCACTCTCTCCTGTTTGCCAGTGCCTCTCTTGCACCTTGGGCCCCAAAACTGAGCAGAGTCATCCAGGGACAGTGTAAGGAGTGCTGAAAGAAAAAGGAACAATCACTTACTGTTATACGCTTCCAAATGCAGCCCAGGATGTGGTTAAGTCTTTGTTAGCATAGGGGAGCACCTCTGGGTCACACAGAGCTTATTGTCTGCCCAGGCCCCTGATGCTTTCCTGAGCATCTGCTTCCTAACCACTGACCCCAACCTCTGCTCTTGTGTCGACTGACACTGGCACAACATTTTTGTCTTCGTTGACTGCGTAAAATTTTTTAATGAACAACATGATAACATAAAGAATTATTTTATTTTTAAACATACCAGAATAATTAAGTCTTTTGAGTGAATCTGAAGATTAGAGGGTCTTATGGGAGTATTGTTCTTTATGAAGTTGTCCTACTGAAGTAATATTTGGAAGTAGTTGTAGAGAAAAACTCATAATGTGAACGGGTAGCACTCATTATAGAAAACTGTCTACCTTTGAATTCTGAAAGGAGCTAGCAATGGTACTTCTATCCTTCTAACTCAGTATGTGTATAACTTATATAGTACCAGAAAGAAAGAGAGCAGCATAGCCTGCACTGATTTGTGAAGGGCTCAGATAATGGCAGATGAGGAAGTCAAACTTCTGTGGCAGCCCAGCTGAGCACCTAACAGAGAAGCAGTACATGTGCGGACAGATGTGATAGTGGCCTTCAACAGGGCTTTTCTAGAGGGAGGGGAAAAGGCAGGGTCTGCAGTTATTTCTTTTCAAAGTCATGCTTTGAAAGAGTCAACAACCATGTGGATAAGGATTATCTAATCAGAATTATGTCCTTGGATTTCTTAAAAATAATAAAAAAAATTGATTATCAAGGTCCTTAATCAGCCTGTTAAACTAAGGCGTGATAGAATGGGATGGTCCTCCCATGGGTTAATAATTGGTGAAAACTGAACTTGGTACAATGGGTATCTCAAGTGAACTATTAGCACTGAAGAAAGGTCTTGAAGTCATCGAAGGTTATATTAATGAAAATGTGGTATCAGTGTTTGGTGGGGAATTTTGAGAATTACTTGGAAAGGAGCAAGGAATAAAATAGTAAACAAGCTATAAATAACATAGTACATTCCTTGGTAGTGGATGGATGCCTGTCATCTGCAAAAGAAAGGGCAGGAGAAGTAGAACACATGGGCAACAATGACCATCAGAGGTAAGGGAGGGTTGGTTAAAGCATGGTGCTCATAGTGCCAGGGTTGGGGTTTGATTCCTATAAAGGCCATTCACTCAAGAGTTGGAATTGATGATCCTTGTGAGTCTGTTCCAACTCAGACTATTCTGTGATTCTGAGATATCAAATAGTTGAGATGTCTTAACCTTGGAAAGCAGTCTTTTATACTGGAAATACAGTCTTCACATTGCACTGAATTTTTTAAAGCAGTGAGGAGAAGTTTAAAAAAAAACTCCAGGAAGCTGAGAGAAGAAGCTACACAAGCACTACTAGGCAGGATAGTTTATATTGATTTATTGTATTCCACAGAGAGGAAGAACAAACACAATTCCAGTCATGATAGTGATGCATGTACTTGGAGGGGCAGGAAGGTATAACAGACTTACATTACAAACTGGGTAGCTGCAGACTTTCTGAAAGAGCACTGGGAGGCTGGTTAATAATGGAAGAAGGACCTGCTGCTGCATCCTGTTTGGGAATAGAGTGATCACTGAGAGTAAATTTTTAAGTGAAGCTATCACTGTCCTGGTGTAGTAATAGCAGCTGGGAAATATCAGCCTTCTGGAAAGCAAGGGCTTAAAGAAGATTTGAATTGTCCTCAGATTTCCTGTAGACTTCCTGAATGTGTAAAGAGGGATGATGGGCATCAAGGACCAGTTACGGCCCTCCTGATACAACCCTTGTAAAAAGGCTTATTTATTGTTTCTCTTTTGGACAATGGGAAGAAAAGAGACGAATGAGAGTTGTACCAAAGTCCTTCTGACCCCACTGGCCTCTTTAAAAGTCATCTCAGAGAAACAGCTGCTAAACCTGACAACCACTTGACAATTGATTTGGCAAAAAAAGTCTCAAGTATTTTAAGGCTGCCTTGTTCATCATTTTCTTACTGTAGTCAGTCTTTGTTGTTTCTTTTTTCTTTGCTCTGTTTTGTTGCTGGTTGGGGAGTTTTTTGTTTGTTTTGAATAGGTGCGTTTGGGGTTCTTTCCACTGAACTATATCATGGAATATCAAACTGCTAGCGGATGCCTGGGTTGTTACTTTTGTAGTTGATTTATCTTTTACATGGCTTAAGATTTGCTTTACCTACCAGTGCTGATTGTGTATAGGTTATGAACAGGGAGAGAGAACAGCCTTTGCTCCAGGGTTGGTCTGCTGAGTTGCATGTATTTTTCTGAAAAAATGGATTCTTGGGATTGTTTGTTCTTTAATTCCCTGCTTTCAGCTGGGAAGGAGCACTTAGAGAAAAGTTGGGGATATTCCGTGGAATATTCCCAACTCCTGGAAAGCCTGTTCCAGCCAAATTTTATCTCCTGTAGATCAGCTTGTTTCAGAAGGCTATGCCATATGCTATGGCATTGGGCATGTTTGTCAGGTGGTACTGAAAATTATTTCAGTAGCCACAAAGTGTAAGGGTAGAAGAAGAGAGGATTATGCTTTTTGTTAAATGGTGGTTGTCTCTATTACTCTGGTTTAAGAGAAAAATTGGAATACAAGGAATTAAAACATATTAAAGCAGTGACAAGCAGAAACCTGTAAGGTTTCATAGAGGAAAGTTTGAGAGAATATACTGTGAATTTTAATATCTTTCTCTGCTTCAAATGTGTAAATGCTAGATTTATATAGGCTATGTGTTTCAGGGGTAGTTTTCATTAATATGCATTGGTAGTATAGATGAGACTGTTTGCTAAAATAATACAATGTGCTGACCTGAAGCTCTCTGCTTGTATTTGTTTTAGGGGTTGTTTCTCTATTGGCTGTTCATCCTTCTACAGTAAATACGATTGGAAAACAGCTCCTGCCAAAAACATTTGGACAGTCTAATGTCAACATTGCACAACAAGTGGTAAGGAGACTTTGTGGGGGTTTTTTTGTTTGTTTCTTTGTGGGATGTGGGGTTTTTTTGTTGTTGTTGTTTTTGTTTGTTTGTTTGTTTTTGTTTGTTTGTTTTTTTGTTGGGTTTTTGTTTGTTTTGGGGTTTTGTTTGTGTATTTTGTTTGTTTGGTAATTTATTTGTTTTTATTGCTTGTCCTATTGTTTACACATGCAGCGAATCTGAAGTAGCCTGGTAGTCTGTATCACTGGTCATGAGCAGATAATCTAAGTTTGTTTCTAATTTTAGTAGACTTAGGTTAATGTATGTATTGTGTAAAGAAGTTCAAAGGTGACTCACAAATGAACATGAAGTTACCTCACTGTTCAGGTGGCTTTACATTTTGTTAGTCTTGCCATTTAAAATCAGTGTCTTTCAGAATCTGCTCTGAAACCTGGCATAGGGAAATGTGAATGAAGTCCATAAACACGTTTTTACAGAGATTTGACCTAGGTGGAATAAAATTGAAAGCATAACTATATTTTAGTGCTTAATTTAAATATTCTTTTGCTGAAATACTTATTTTGAGCTTTGTGTGAGATATATGAAATTAGATGATCTAAGGAATCTTATAATGCAATAGATAATACATAGATTATAGTAATTCTTTCAGTAATCAAAATCAGAACTCAGAGATCTGAGTAGAATTGTCTCAATCTTCTGGAAAGCAACTGTAACATGTAAACATCTGAACTAGAGTGTCTTATATTTGGGGTTCTTCTTCATATGAAAGCAGTGGAGTAGATTTTGAATGTAGAGTAGGTGTTAATCAGACTTCTCTGTCCCACTCTAGAAATGAACCTGTGAATTTGTGCACACTTCATTTTTTCCTTTGTAGAGTTGAGTATTTCAGGACTCTCCTGAGTGCAGCAGAGGTTCAGGGTTTGCTGCTGCCAGTTTGTTTTTTCTCCAGCTGTAAATCTTCTCCTCAACACTGCCCCTGTTCTGGTTTGACTTTCATCTTATTGCAGAGTGATACAAATTCTAGAGGTACAGTGGTGGGGCTGCTCATGGAATTAGTAAGGCTGGGAGTTGGAGAGTGGGACTCTCTGCAAGCAAGGTGTTAAATCATCTCTTGCAATCTTCTGCCAATTCAAACCAGCTTACAGCTTTCTTCAGTTCTCCATATAATCTGTTTACTTGAATAGCACTCCAAAGAGTGGTTTTCACACTCTTTGGAGACATTTGGTGAGCCAGAGCAGTTGGCATCAGAACTGATAGTGTTTTTTTTCATGGGGATAAAGTGAGCAGGTTCACAACTGTGTCCTGTGCCAGCATTCCCCACCCTCATGCCCTTTCCTACAATCCTAAGTTTTGTTTATGAAAAGCAGTAGAGGAGATTATTTGGCTTTACATAAGAGACAGAAGCATTTCAAGTGTGGTACAGTGCTCCTGGGAAGGAGTACCCAAGATATTCTAGCTGTTAGAAGTGGATATGGGACACAGTCTCAAGCTGCATCAGGGAAATAGAGGCTGGATATTAGGAAGAAATTTTTCACAGAAAGAGTGATAAAATGTTGGAATGGCCTGCCTGGGGAGGTGGTAGAGTCACCATCTCTGGATGTGTTCAGAACAAGACTGGATATGTCACTTGGTGCCATGGTTTAGTTAAGGTGTTTAGGCATGGGTTGGACTTGATGATCTTGAAGGTCTCTTCCAAACTAGTCATTCTGTGATATAACAAATTTATACATTACCTGCTCAGAGAGGTGGCATAACATAAAGAGAATATTTGGGAAAAAATACAGCTGTTTGTCTTTCCAGACAGCTGAAATCAGGGACATCCTACAGTCATCCTACCTTTGGCACCATCTATGTAACTTTCACACATGAAATGTTTCATTTTCAGTTTTTGTATTTTACTCTTGTTGAGACTTAACTGTTGAAGATGGCTCACGGAAGAAAAATTAAGTTTTGCTGCTCAGACAGAATGTAGCTGCAGGAAAACATGGCAAGCTTGTGGGTGGTTATGGGTTTAGGTTTGTTTGATGTTTTTTTCATTTACCTGATGTCAGGGATGCAACCAGCTGTTTTCACTGGGAGTAAATGCACCCCAAAAAAGGAGATATATCTTTCTACAAAAGAGTAATCTATAGGATATCATTTTTTCCCCGTAATCTATATTTTCTAGAAAGTTACATTTTAAACAATTCAGAGATAAAATCATCGCCTGCAAAAGTGATGTTTAGCTAGTTTCAGAGGTAGGAGGGCACAGTTCTATGTGCTAATGTATGTTATTGTTACTTATGGTCAAATTACTACATCTTCAGGACAGTTCACATGGAGGCTGGAAGACTGCTTAGCCAAGTGTGTGCTCTCAACATGTTTGCAGTGGAATGGGTTTGCCTAATTTGATGTCACTCACTGCAGTGATGAAGAAAGTTCACCCTTATTCTTTCTCATGTCTAATGCAGTAGTTTTGACTCTGATGATAGAGGCTGACACCAGGAGAGAGAGTTCATGCAAAAGCTCTGCATTTTCGCTCTGGTTTTACTGATTTTCAGATTTTCTTATATTCATATTTTAACTGTAATTTACTGCAGCATCCTTATACATAATTTGGTAGCATAGGGTGTGTTTTCCCTCCCTTTTTCCCCCCATTTTCCTTGGAGGGAGAGTGTGTGTGGGTTTTCATCTTGTCTAAGTTAGTGCTGAACAGTGTTACAAGCATGAAAACCTGATTGAAGGAGGTTAAAATATAAATGCTTGTATCTTGGGGTGTGCTCTAGTTATATTTACTGTAGTCAGAAGTTTTTTATCCTAGTGTGTATAAATTAGATGCATCTAAGAGAAGTATGTAAAGTACCAGTGTTTGGATAATTTCAGTTGTGTCACTTACAAATATCTTGGAATTCTTACCATTTTCCAAATGATTTTGTCTTCACTGTAGGTTATCGGTACACCTCAGAGACCTTCAGCACAGAATACCATCCTGGTAGGAAGTCCACACACACCTAACACACATTTTGCATCACAGAACCAGACTGGAGATTCTTCACCTTGGTCTGCTGGGTGAGCAAAATGAAAGCTAGAAGGGATTAATAAAGTGTTGGAACTTTTGTTTTAAGCGTTGTGATAGTGTATGTACTCCTCAGGCTAGCAGTTGTACCAGAGTCTTTTCCCTTTCATCAAGAGCACTTCACCACTGAAGTCTGCTGTACTAAAATAGGGAGTTGTCACACCATAAGTGCCTCTTCATTTCTTGTAAAAGAATGCAGAATATTTTCTGTAAGCTCTGGTAGATATTCTGACATTATTAACATTTAGAGAATTTAGCTCCTAAAAGGACACAGGAATTTATCTGACTTGATTCTATGATTTCTCTTATGCTGGTGTATTTTCAGAAAAATATGGTGTATTTCTGATTGAACCAAGGATATCCCAGAGTGTCATTTGAAATAAGAATGTGGTCCTTTTTGAGAAAAAGTGTTAAATACAAGGAATGCATTCTTTTGGTGTGTTTTTTTTCATGCAAGCTTGTTTTTAAGGGCGTCTTGTTAAATGTAGTTGCTTTAAAAGACTACATTTATTATTGGTGGCCTGTTACTCATAAACAGATTTCTGCTTTGGAATTATACAGTGAAATGAGATGTAAGAACTGAGACTTCCCCTTGCTGAAACTAATTTTGTTGATATTTGTATTTTCCCTCTGGTTACAAGGAAATTTTTATTTAAAAACTTTGCAAAGCAGAAAACTTTGTTATACTGCTTGTATCTTGTAACTTTGAAGTTCTAATAGCAATTTCATATACTGTATAACTTCAAATCTGTGTTATAGTAATAGTGTAATGTTTAGTGAGTTCAACCAATACCAGACTTTGTCTGTTCAGTCAGTATCAGTATCACATTGCATAGAAAATGCTCAATCTATGTGCTACTTAAAAATAAAAAATTTTAAAAAGGACAAAAAAATTCTCTCCTCTGATTCAGTTTTCATGTTTTAGTATTTATCCCCTTATCTCTTCTTGTCTTGAAGTTTGGAAGGTTTTCTTTGTTGATTTCTTCAAGTAATATCAAGTAATATCAAAAATTGTTAATTTTTTGTCTGCTGCTGGAAAGGATTCAGGCCAGGTTGGATAGAGCTTTGGGCAACCTCACTGAGTTGAAGATACCCTGGCTCGGTGCAGGGGGGTTGGACTTGATGACCTTTAAAGATTGCTTCCAACCCAAAGTATTCTATGATTTTGTGATTCTTCTGAAGCTAGAAAAGGTGGCAAAAGAATAAATTTATATTGTGTTTAAGCATCAAGATACTAGAATTGTTTATAAATATTGTAAAATGTAGGGGAAAAAATGTAGGAGAGAAGGTTGGTAAGGGATAAGAAGCGGAAGAAAAGGGAAGGCTTGGGTTTTTGACAGCAGTGTGCCTGTATTTGAAAAAGAGACATCAAATATTCCAAAGTTTAAATCTTCTTAAAATATATATTAAATATATATTATACGTATATTTAGGAAGCGGAACAAAAAAGGCGAGAAGAATGGCAAGGGTTTACGTCATTTCTCTATGAAGGTTTGTGAGAAGGTACAGAGAAAAGGAACCACCTCATACAATGAGGTGGCAGACGAGTTGGTTGCAGAATTCACTACCACTGATAATCACATTTCACCAAATGAATCAGTAAGTATATGGGAAGTCCATTACATGTGAACTGAATGGGGGAAGAGAAATTTCTCTTGAGATTTTTCTGTTTTTCCTACTGCTAAATGAAACAGTTCAGATATTAACTGAGTTTACCCATTTGCTGTAATATGTTTATTTTCAAATATTTTTGACACAGGTATATTTTTGATTAATGCACTGTGTCTACAGCAGGCTTATGACCAGAAGAATATTAGACGACGTGTCTATGATGCCTTAAATGTCCTTATGGCCATGAACATTATCTCTAAGGAGAAAAAGGAAATCAAATGGATTGGTCTACCTACTAACTCGGCTCAGGAATGTCAGAATTTGGAGGTATATGCATTTGGAACTTCACAATGGCTTTGTGTTTGAGTAAATGTTTACAGCTTTAATATGTTCTGATACAACGTGTGCCTATAATCTTCTGAGGTAGCAACATAGTCCTCATTTTATTTTTATATACTGAACACACACTCTTCAACTTCCAGATTGTTCAAATGTGTCTTTGTTTAATTCTTCTATGTCAAAAATACAGCTTTTAAAAGTACATGTGAAGTGGTTCTGAGTGGGAGGTAGTAAAAAATTAATGTGTATTTCCAACATTGCAACAGTGGTACTCAGGAGTTGGGAAGATTTGTTTTCTCCAGATGCCAAACAGACAGTAGATCTGTGATGATAGATGTTGCAGGTAGGTCAGTACATACAGGCATCTCCATTGCTGCAGGTCCTTTTTTACCTTTTTGTGACAATTCTCTTAAGTGAGTATGTCAGACTTTGTTATTGCATGTCATGGGGAGGAAGTGAAATGCTTTATACAGAAAGAGATTCGTAAGTTCTGACAGGATTTTTTTACTGGCCTGAGATTTGCAGGATAATAAAGTTACTGAGGTTTACTGAAGTAAATTCACTTCATCTGAATGGAATGAAACGTATTTATTTATTCTCAATAAGTCTAAACTCCTTCAACAGGACAAAAAAGTCAGTGAGAAGGTGCCAAAGTTAGGGGGAAAGTGGAACAAAAGTGTTGGGGTGCCTTATCTAAAAAGGGATAATTCTAATTTTTGTTTGATACGGATAATTGATTTTTCATTTAATTTTTTAAATTACTTTTGTGGCAGTGAGTTTCAGGTGCGTGAGAAGCTTCTTCTGACATACCTTTTGTTTGGTTTTGAACATCTTGATATGTTGATATCTGCTGAATATTTTTTTAATTGGAAGTGATGATGAACTAGTCATTCCTTATTCACTTCCTCCATCCTGTTCATTGTTTTATAGGGATCTCTCTCATGTTCTTCCCCATTATTTCATTCTCCTTTCAGTACAGTCCTAATTTATTCATTATTCTCTTGTGTAAAGTCTGTTCTGTATCACTGATGATCCTGATTGCTCTTTCATATGCTTGTCTTGAAATAGAACCATCAGACCTACAGAATTCAAGATGTAAACATTCTGCTTCATAGAGTAATGTAGTGATAATTCCTGTTTGCTACTCTGTTTCTTGCCTAATAATTTGAATTTTTGGCTGTCAGAGTATAGTGAGCTGATGGATTTTGCAGATACTGCAATTTTAGATCTCTGCTGAATGTCATTTTATTTCTAAAGTGTGCATGGATTAGATTGTTTTCTCACACATACCACACTATATTTACCAGAAATAATTTCAGTGATGTAATCACAAAATGCTGTAAGACACTTTGAGTTTGCTTTATGACAAACTCTTTTTACTATGCCAGGTAACCCAGCATTGCCAGCAGATTCTGTCACCTTGTGACCTTAATCTGATTGTTGTTAGAGTAACAGTCTGTCAGTTTAATCCCCATGGGAATCTCTGGGGAGTTCTTCCGCTAAGAAAGCTGTGTATTTCCTAGCTTTTAGTCTCTTACCTCTTTTGTTATTATTTAGTACATATTAAATACTGTGAGGTCTTAACCTTGGGCTCCATAGCAGCTTCCTGTCTTTAACCATCTTTGATGGATCTTCTCCAATACCTCCAATGTCAGTAAACTCTACATAAATAGATCCTTTTTGTCTATCTTTGCCTCTCTGAGAGAATTCCAATAACCCTTGGAGGCATAACTCAAACATTCTGTTTGCAAAGATGCTTTTATCTTCTTCACAGGTTGTTGTATTTTATTCCCCAGGGCTCTTTGTTCGTTTCCATAGGTAGTACTGATGTGTCTTGATAGTTAAGTCTCTAAGTTATGTGTAGAACCTTAATGATTGATTGCTGTATTTCCTAACTCCACTGTTCTGGTACTGAAATTATTTTAGAGGGAGAAAATGTTGGCATAAAATGCTACTTAAAACCAACAAACTGACCAGTCCTTTTTGTCTGTCTTAAGGTGGAGAAACAGAGAAGAATTGAAAGAATAAAGCAAAAACAGTCTCAGCTACAAGAACTCATTCTACAGGTACAGTCAAGGTACTCTTGTCTATAGGGCAAGGTAACTTATATCTGTATTCCTCTTGTTTTGTCCCAGTCTGAGGGATGGGAACTTCTAGGAAGACTAGAGGTGAATTTCAGGAGAAGGGGTATTCAGCTTTATTTAACATTGTAGTTTAGCTGGGACCATGCTTGGCCATTGCTGTTGGGGATGCCACCAACCTTCCATCAGTTATGATGAATTTATCTGGAGTTTCAAGTATGTTTAAACAGGGTTTATGTTGATAGGAGAAGTATTTCATATCATACCCTCTGAATTTTCCAATTTGGTTCAGGAACTGAACTAGGTACAGGCATCTAGAATTTTCTTCTGTGTTAGCATCCATGGATAAAATTATGTGACTGTACAAGTTGTCTGTCATAGTGCTCTGCATTGTGCCTTGCTGGAGAATGGCTGCCACTGGTGTGGAAGTGGCTGGACCACTGTGAAACTGTGGCTGAACTCCTTCCCAGATTTCCCTTACTGCACCTGGGGAAGCAATAGTTTATTTCCCAAGACACTGTGCTGCTGGTCCATAGAAATATATTCCTGGGTAGCTGTGTTGCCTACACAGTAGGAATGAGAATCTCAGAAGTACAGACAGCTCTGGGACAGCCGCCTGATTTTTAGCAGTCTCTGTGTTGGCTTTGGATTTTGGTCTTAATTATTGTTTATTTAATTTGATTTTGTGACCAGAAAAATATTTTTCCTTGTTCAGAAGCTTACTGTATGATTTATTACTTGAGTTTCTATGGTTTTTAATTATTCAAATTGCTAGTTTTTAAAATAGGAACGTTCCATTGTAAAAAGCAATTTTGGTAAGATGTTAAAGTCACTAATCTTAAATGGGTAATTCAGAAACCTAATGCCAGATATTCAAATCCCAAACATTAAATTTTTTGCATATAATTAATTTCAGTATTAACATTTTTTGGAGTGCAGCAGCTAGTAGGGAAGCATAAATGGAGAGGAGATAGGATGCTATGGGAAAATTTATTTTTCCAATCATTGTTTTCTCTCCATTCTGCCAGAGATCTGTCCAAGGAGCTGTGCTGGTGTAGTTAGTAGAATGTGCTTCTTTTTTTCCTCAGTAAAGTTTTACTGCATTGCCTTTTTTAATACTGTGATCTGTGACTCTTCTTGCATCTTAACATGCAGAAATATGGTAAACACTCTGTCTTTTTCTGCATTTATTTCTGCAACCGTTGCTGGAATCCTTAGTAGTTTTGTTAACATGATCCTAAAAGCTTCATTCATGCTTTGCTATCACTGTTGCTTTTTCCAGCAAATTGCCTTTAAGAACCTCGTGCAGCGGAACCGTCAGGCAGAGCAGCAGGCAAACCGACCTCCCCCTTCCAACTCTGTCATCCATCTGCCTTTTATCATTGTGAACACCAGCAAGAAGACAGTGATCGACTGCAGTATTTCAAATGACAAGTAAGCCAACAAAGTTTGCCATTTGGCCTTTGGTAGAGCTCTGAGTTTGTATAAATGTTCATGTATATTTGTTAAAGATTAAATACAAACTTACTTTACTTGTGCCTTTTGTATATTGAGAACATGCACTTCAGACAGCTGTTTTATATATTCTTTTAATCAATAGACTAATTGATTCACATTTGATAACTTAAATAAGTTAAATAAGACTTGCTATCTAGAGATACTAGGCATCTCTCTTGACATTTTGTCTTACTTAAGCAAGCAGTGTTTTCCTTTGTCTTGAACACCATGGAATGCAGCCACTGGAATTGAAAATGGATTTCACTTTCAGGGCTTCTGTTCTCCACTTTTGCTTCAAAAAGCTGTATTTTTCATCAGCTGAATAAAAACTGAATGTAAGCAGTCACAAGCAAATACATAAATCTTGAAAATTTGATTATTTAATGTGATGTGTCACTAGCACACTTAACACTGTGTGTAAAGCTTTTGAAATGCTGCAATTCCTGAAAATGGAAAGGTAGTTAAAGTTGTTGAAGTTAATTGAGACATTTTTTCCTCTCCAGGTTTGAATATCTATTTAATTTTGACAATACTTTTGAAATTCATGATGATATAGAAGTACTAAAACGAATGGGAATGGCTTGTGGGCTAGAATCTGGAAGCTGTTCAGCAGAGGACCTAAAAGTTGCAAGGAGTTTGGTTCCTAAAGCTCTGGAACCATATGTGACAGGTTAGTTACTCCATAAAGAGTTGATTTTTTTCCTCCTTAATATAGGACTCTAAGAAAACACATGAAAATACCTTAGATCAGATAATTTTCCAAAGATTTCTGTCAAGTTCTCAAATTTGTCTGCTTTTTAGTGTATCTTAGGGAGCAAATAACATAGCGATTCATAAAGAGTGGAGTGTTGCTCTTTGCAAAACATTTTGCATCAAGCCACACAAGTAGATCTTTGCAGTGTGTAATTCTTTTAAGAGAACAGTATTTATGCTTGATTCACTTGCAAAGGCAAAAGGTAGTGAAGTACAAGCATATGATGAATACTGAAATCATCTGTCTTGCTCACTTCAAAACAAATGGGTTTTTAAAATGTATTTTGAAATTTTATTGTTGCTTGCACTAGCCTTTTTTTGGATTATGCTGGTTTGGATATAGTACATAAGTATGTTTTGTTGTTTGGGCTGCAAGACTCCTTTTCTGGACTTCAAAGGATGAAGCATTTCCACTGAATTAGATGGGTGTGTTTGGAAGGATTCCTGAAAAGCATGTTGTTTGTTTTACAGAAATGGCTCAGGGATCAATCAGCAGTGTATATGTCACATCTTCATCAGGTTCTGCGTCAAACGGCACAAGATTTTCAGCCAGGTGAGATGAAACTTTCAATTAGTTTTGAAAATCTGTGGTCATCAAAGAGATTGGATATTAAATGCTTCATGAAGCAAGTTCTGTTTTGATTAAATAGGCTGTGGATATGTGTTTTAAATTTATTCTCAGACATCACTTCTATGATGGTTCTTAGCAGTGTCATTAAGGAAATCCTTTCCTGTATACTAGAAAGGTGTTAGAGTGGTGTTATTCTTGAACGTGTTGTTTGTTTGGGGTTTTTTTCTAGTTTAGAGTTTGTGACAAGAAAACAGATACTTCTCTAAAGATAGAGTATTGGAAAGATTAACCCTTGATCACTTAGTGTCTAACTTTAAAAAATATTTTGACCTTTGGGTTTTAAACAGCAATCACAGAAGCTGGTAGCGTGATAAACCATAACTAGTATTCAACTTTGTTACTCACTAGTTTCTTATTACTGTATTAATCAAAAATATGTCCCTCTGTGAGCTCCACAAGGTTGTAAAATGAGTCAAATATTCAACAGTTGGATTCTGTGATCTCTGAGGTCTTTTCTAACCTAATTGATTCTATGATCATTGAAACGCTTGACATTCGTAACAAATGCTTGAATTAAGTTCTGCGTGTTTTGTGCAAGGGAACTGAAGCTTGAGTGAGAATTCTGCCAAAATATCTTTAGAGATGCTGAACAGTACCTAAAATCTCTGTTTTCAGTAGGTTTCCTTCTGTGGTAATGAGCAAAGGGTAGTCAAAAAGAGCACCATGTGTTTTTAAGACTTTGAAATTTGAATAGGCCACTGTTAGCCAGAGACCAATAGAGAACCAGAGGCTGACTGGAGTTCATTATCTTGGTGAGCGTACAAGAACTTCTAACATTTCCATTTCTTAGGAGTTTGGAAAAGGGCAGTGACAAATTATATTTAATTATAGGATATATATGAATATTCATGGCAATAGCAATGAACATTCATGGCAAGACAAGTTGTGCTGCCAAGGCAAATAAAGGCTGTGCATTTATTTTACAAGGTCTCTAAAGAAAGTCTGCAGAAGTCCGAGGATGCTGCTACCAATACTTTCATCCCAGTTTGTTTGCCTTAGTAGGATACTCGGGTTATGAAATCCAGTTGTTTTTATCAAAAAGAGAGGAAAAAGGACTTTGGGTTTGTACTTTCAAAGTTTAGAAAAGCACAAGAATAATCTCTTTGTTTTGTTTTGTTTTCTTTGCTTTTGAAACTGCTTTTGCAGATAATTATGGCAGACCTATTGTAGGTCATCTGCCTACAGCTAACAGATATCTGAGTATCTTGCTGCTGAGTAAGTGTGCAGAACAGCAGAAGTGCTTGAAAGTATCTTAGTGGATATGTTTTTCCTGTGAGCTTATAGGGTGTACTCTGGCAGTTTCATTCTATGTGATGATAGACCATTGAATTGGCTCCATACAGCAGCAAGTGTGCATGATTGAATGTGTGCATTAGCTGGATCAGCATTTAAAAAATTACTAGCCATCGTATTTTTGAAAGCAATTTTTAAATGATGAATGTCTTTCAAGGGAGGTACTTTTGTACTTTTGATACTTAGAAGGGAGATATTTTTGTCAATTAAAGAAAACCAAAACATTTTGTCATGAATTTGTGGCTAAGTTTAATAGTTTACCAAACTATTTAGAAAATCAGCAATTAAATAGATTGACAAAGTAGCAATTGATCATGGAGGCAGGAATTTTCTGGCTCTATTAAAACAAAATACTGCACAAGGAGAAGAAAAGTTTCAAATTAAAAATACAGCACGTGACAGTTTGCTAAGTATTATCAAGGAGTTAAGGAAAAGCTATTAATTTTCCAGGTCTTTGAATCAAGATCAGTGACTCTGAAAGACATGATTCACTTGCAAGCGTTCAGTGCTTCACAAAAATACTAAAGAGCTTGGCTTTGTAGCCTTAACACTAAATGTGCTTTAGAAGAAACCTGAAAAACATATTTATAAAGTGCCTGTGAGAAAGTTTTATCTTTATATTAAAAACTAAAGGAAGAAACCCGATAAGAACCACTTCAAAATTACTTGAGACTGTTTCATCTTTTTGGAGACGGCTTGGACATACACTGAAGACAATTTATAAAGTGGCAGTGGTAGATTCATTAAAGGAATGGACTAGATAGGGGAGAAATCATGAAGCAATGCCAACTGGATTTTTTTTCTTTTTCAGTGACTTTTCCAATGGTGGAGATGGAATGTTGGCTACAAGTTCCAATGGATCTCAGTATAGTGGCTCCAGAGTTGAAACACCAGTTTCTTATGTTGGGGATGACGATGATGATGACGATGATTTTAATGAAAATGATGATGACGACTGATGCCCTTTGCTTGTAGACTATTTTTTTGTTAAAATTCAGCAGGCTTCAGGAATAAATTGTTCTAGGGAGAAGTGTCTCAAATTACTTTGCCCCATCCCCCAAGGAGAATATTGGTAAGCAGTTCTGAGTTTAGAAATTGCACCTCTGATAAGCAAACAAGGATTGTTTTATGTAGGATATTTTTAAATGTGGTGTGGATGTGTGTTTTTGATACCAGTGTGTTAATGCAGAGCCTTTATTTACTCTTGTTTTAGGGGTTTTTGGTTTGTTGGTTGTTTTTTGTTTGGGATTTCTTTTTTACTTGAAGGAAAAAGAATTTTGCCCCAAATGTTCTTTCAAAGTTTGCTAAAGAAAATGTAGACACATCATTGAGAAATAAAATACTATCCTTCTGTGGAAAATGAATACACTGAATGGCAATTTATTTGGAGTGTATTTTGATTATGCCACTTTTTGAGGGATAGTGAGCTAATGTAGTAGTGTTTTTTGTTAATCATGCAGTGTCCAAAGAACCAAACAAGAAAGATACGTCCTACTTTTTTACATGTTAAATTCCAGGAATGTTGTTGTGAACTTATTTTCCCTTAAATTATATCTAACATTATGATTCCATCAAGTTTATATACTTTTCACTGTATGTTGGGACATATGAATTACAAAGTTTTTGGCAAATGTTTACTGCCAGTTGGTGCAGCTATATAAAATGTCTTGAAGGTTTGGAATGATTTATTGCTTATGGTAAAATTTGCCTGATTTCTTACAGGCAGTCTTTGGAAACTTTTTATTATATAGTTGTTTACATACTTATAAGTCTATCATATAAAGACATGTACTGAAACAAATGTTTGTATTTGTTTCATAAGCATCTTCCTGTAATCTATTATAAAGTTGAAATTAAATATAGAGAATGTTTTAAGTTTTTTAACTCAAAATTTGTCAATCATTTTTAATAGTTCATTTTTATAAAAGGAATTTCAGGGCAGGTGGTAGTCTTTTTAAATTTATTCACAAACAATTAACTGCACAAATACTGTCAGCTGCCTATTCTAAGACAGTAGTCTTTTTATTGAAACACAAATAAACTTTTCTGTAATATTTTATGAAATATAAAGAGACTATAATTGTTTGACTTGTTTAACCTTGGCACTGTTAGTTTTTATTAATAAAACGCGCATGGGCATTTTTAACAAGCTCTGTGGTTTTTCTAATTCTAGGATTATTTTAGAACATTTCACTTCTCGTCACAAGACCTAGAATTAGCTGTCTTGGGATGCTGCATCTGTGCTACAGAGGGCCCAGAGTTTTTGCTTTGATTTAGTAATTTGCCCTTAGAGCTCTTGATAACTTGTGATGCAAAAGGCAATAACTTACCCAGTATATTCTCTTCTTTCAAACCTCCTTATTTCATCCATGTTGCTCCTCAGCATGACAGGTCAATCTTAGTACTCCTATCTAGCTTCTGTTTAAAATCCCATGCCTAATGTCCTAACTTTCCATCCCATATTCCTCAGTCCTAACTTTCTGTCATGTATTTCTATGTCCTCCAAAAAGCTTTAATCTACTTTTCATTTACTTCCTTTTTAAACCATTCTGTCAGATCACATCCTCTGCTCTCACCTGTAAGAGGCTACTGAGCTAGCTTAGTCACTGCAGGCTACTGTCACAGGCAGGATTTGATACTTCCACAATGTCCAGAGAGTTCCTGCAAAGAATTAATAACTGTGCTGACTGTGGTAGGGGCTCCTGGATGCACTTAAACCCTGCGGTAAATGTGAAGTGTGTTACATCTTTTTTTTTTCTTGAAGAGATTATGCATAGACAAATCTGTGTGGGGATATGTGTTTTTAATATAGAACAGCTGATACACACTGAAGGTTTTCAAATTGTATCAGACCTTGTAACATGAATGAATGAAACAAATTATGGGACTGGGGAAAATCTGGGGGAGAAGAGCTAATTGGATGTTTTGCTCCTCAGTGAAGAGGCAATTCTCTGCAGTGCTAATAAACACAGGTTTCTTGTTGTGAGTGATACAGTTGATTCAAATTGTCTTCGATGTTGAAAGGCAATCCAGTTTGTAGAGGAACTGTAGAGGAACTGGAAATTATTCCAGTTTTCCCTTACATTCTCTAGTGTATGATCCAAGATTTACCTGCAAGGAGTGAGTAGAGGGATGTTAGGGAAAGAAGGCTGAAAGAATCTGACAGTTTTCGTTTGGTTCTTATTGGTGGAATAGTCCTCAGATAAGATAAGGTCATGCTGGGAGTAAAAATGTGACAAAACATACATTTTTAAGATGTTACCTTTCTCTTTTATTTCTTTTGTTTGGTGATGAATCTGAAATGGAATTTGATAATTTAAAAGTTGGAGTGCTTTTGGGGAAATTATTTTTTATTTCTGTTTGAACTTGATGATCTTAAAGATTTTTTTCTAAATTCTACAATTCTGTATAAGCTTTGTCATGGGAGAGTTTTCTAGTAAAGGCAGTAATCAATAATGAGAGAAAGTCTATAGTTGCTTGTTTTGGAGCAGTCACTTGGTTACAATGTTCAGGTGAAAGAGGAGAAAAAAAGAAAGAGAAAAGAGACTAATGGTGAGGGGCCAGGTTGAGATGAGGAAGGAAATGTGAAGAAGTATGTGCAGGGAAGGGTAAAGAAAGAACAGATTATAGCAGGGTCTTTGCAGAGGAACATAATAAGAGAAGAAGGTGTAAGTTGGAAAGAATGAGAAAACGAGAAGACTAGTCAAAGACTAGAAAAAGGAGTAGTAGTAGAAACTTATTTTAGAAAAAGAAAGGTAGAGAGTATAAGTATTTAATAATGTAAGGCATTGCATGAAAGGAACTGGAAAGTGAAAGATAACTTTAAACTGTATGGTTCTAATCTCTGAAAAAAGTGTACATGTACAGATGGAAAATGAAGATCAAGAGCAGGAACAGAACATAACAGGAAATTGTGACAGGAAATTGTTGAGGAAATCTCTGGGAGAAAATACTGTAAGGAGATAAAAACTGGAGTTTGGTTTAAGAAAGATTAAATGATGGTAAAGGGAATGAGAATTGTTATAAGGGCTCAGTTTAAGGTAAAATGTGGCAGGAATGTACTTTTAATTCCTTTACTTAGCCAGCACTTTTTTGTGATATGAAGAAGAGGAAAAGAGTTGCCAAGTGTGTATTTATGCCTCTGAAATGGTCCTGCAGATAAGTCCTGGGAGGAGTGTGCATTTTTTGCACTTTCTGAAGTGTTCCTGAGCTGTGAAAGACTGTCTGTTTTGGCATGTGTAACAAGTTAAGGATTTCTTGAACTGTTTCACAAATAATCTGCTTTGCTTTTCCCATAGGATTTTGTCTTAACCAAAGAGAAACAGTTATGACTTCAGAAACTGATGGGTTTTGTTTTTTTGCTTGAACCTTCCTTCAATGAAAGGTGGCAGCTGTTGCAGAGAAAAAAACAAAAGTAAATGTAGCTGATAGAGTACTGACCCTTGACAGATGTCCATTTATTTATTTGAATTAAAGGATGAATATTTAATGAAAGGATGTACTGTCACAAATCTCCTTATTCCTTAATTAGTGAATACATAGGTTGTCAAATCTTCATATGAATGAGAAATCTGAAAATTGGATGCTGCTTTAATGTAGAAAGGGTGAAATTAAAAAAAAAAAAAAAAAAAAAAAAAACAAAACCAAAACCAACCAACATGATGTAGCACTACTGGAATGATCACCAGTACAAAGGACAGCATATCCAGTTTTTCACAGATAGATAATTGTTTACTGTTGGGATTTCCTTTCTCTTGTCTGCTTGTTAAGAGTATAGTAAGCCATTTGTCTTTATGAGTACACTGAGTTAACAACTTGTCACCATTTCCCAGCCCTGTCTACTTCCAGAAACACAAATCTACTATCACACACACCTTATTGTTGCAACCTTAATTGTCATTCATTTACCAGGAAAAGCAAAGATGAGCCAGCACATTAAGAGCAGCCTTTTCCTGTTGTTATTTTCTGAATTTAGGATTTAAGGTTTTTCCAGGGTTTTTCCTGACCTTTGGTGTGCCCTTGAGCTTCCATGGATTCTCGTGGGTTACCCAAATGTTCATTGGGCTGGGGCAACTTCTGTATGAGGAGAGGCTGAGGGAGAGCAGCTTGTTCAGCCTGGAGAAGAGGCAGCCTTGCAGTGCTGCAGGAAGGTTATTGCAAAGGTGGAGCCAGTGCACAAGGGTGTGTGAGGACAGGATGGACAGACAACACACACAGGCTGAAATGGGAGAATTTCCAGCTGAGTATGAGCAACAACTTGGGATGGTCAGGCTGTGGAACAGGCTGCCCAGAGAGGTTGTGCTGACTTGATCCTTAGGGTTTTCAAGACCAGACAGGAGAAAAGCCCTAAGCAATGTAGAGTCTGACCTCATGGCTGAGCATGCTTTGAGCAGAGATTGGACAGGAGACAACCTGAGATGCCTTCCAGCTTGAATTACCGAATGGATCCCATAACAGAGAGGGAAAGAAAAGAAAGAACATGATAGAAAATGTCAGTGTTGGGAACAGACTAGCAAATGGGTCATCTGGCTTGCCAGACTCATCAGAAAATGAATGGAAGCTCAGCTCATCTTCAGAAGCTGTCAAAAGGTACCAAACTGATGGAAAAGGTGCTTAAATGTGCAGGTAGAAGTGAAGACTGCTTCAAGATGAGGTTTCTAAGACTGATGCTGAGAGCAGAATGAGGAAGGGCAACAAGCAGCACTGCAGGGTGTTTCTGAGTTCAAATATTGGTTACACTGGAAATTCCTGTCTGGTGTGATGATGGTTCTCACCTGGCACCATCTGCCTCTCGCTCAGTTGGGACCTGCTGTCCTCACATTCAGTGAATGTCAGCACTTTGTGAAACAACAACTGGAGAAAATCATGATGATTATTGATGCACAGTTTAGCTGTGGTAAAGGCAGAATGTTCTGATGTGGAAGAGAGCAAAGAAGAGAGGCTGGTGCAAATTGAAAGTTACCTGTGTAATACCATCACAAATGCTTTTCTTTGTTCTGCCGTGACCTTTTGTTAATTTTTTTGATGTTTTCAACATGTTGAAAGCCAAACTTAGGTTGAAAATTTCGATTTTATTTTATCAGATTCCTGTGCACACATCATGGTACATTGCTATAAATTGTGCAGTTTCATCAGCCCTACCTGGTCAGAGCATCTGCACTGTAGCATGTTAAAAAGACAGCAAGGTTTCAGACTTCAGGCAAGTTCCTGTTCTTTATTCATGTAAACTTGAGAGAATCTTTTAAAAATAAAGCAGAACAGTAAGCACATACTCTTAAAACTTGTAAGAGTATGTGCAGCTCCAGTAATTAAAGTTGCACAACTTCTGATGCTGATTTTTAATGAACCTTGGAATATTTCTTAC